TCCCTGGAGGGATTTAAAAGACGTGTAGATGTGGTGCTTGAGGACATGGTTTAGTGGTGGACTTGGCAATGCTAGGTTAATGGTTGGACTTGATGATCTTAAAGGTCTTTTCCAACCTTAACGATTCTATGATTCTAAGTGCTGGGGCTTATAAACCTTCAGGGATGTTAGCCAGGAACTGCAGGTCTCATTCACAGTGGTCCTAAGGGCCAGGCCTATAAGAACAAAAACTAAATGGACAAAACCCCTATGTCCTAAAATTATTTTATAGCTGATCTTAAGATCAGTAAACTTTGTTTTATGGTGACATACAGCAAATTTTTAAGTATTCTCAAATACAAACTTAAATGTCCTGAATGTGGGACCCACCCTGACAGCAGCCAGAAATTTCAATGTCTAGCCTAATCCATTTGCACCTGTGGTGTTTGTATGCAGAGGAAAACTCAAAGAAAAGGACAAAAATCCTTCACCTAGATTTTCATCCTCTCTTCTCTTTCACGGTTACCTTAAGGGGAGAAGACTGTAAAGAAGTCTCACAAGGGGCATGACTTATAGCCCAATAAATCCACTTTCTGCCTTAACTATTGCTTCCTCACCAAAACTACTAGACACAATGATGACACAATTTTTTTTTTCTTTTTATTTTTGGTAACCTTTGGCTACAACTGCCTCGCAGACAACAGCCTCACCCCCGTGACTTGCACCTGAGGGGAGACAGAAGCTGTGATCTGTGGACAGGCAATACCAGCAGCAAATTGGTTTTCCCAGCACCGAAGCACCAGGAAAATACACCTCTGGGGGTAATCCTACTAAGCACCATCAGCTCTTACTCTGGGTGAGGCCTAAGCACAAATACAGCCCACAAACATCGGCTTTGACTGACTGGCAGCTGGAAGAAGAAGGTGACAATCTCCAAACACTAGATTTTTAACAGAACAGATGGGTTGAAAAAGGAATCTTTGGAGATACTGGATTAAACAAAAGCATAGAAAAGACAGCCCACTTAAAGTGTCTATTTGACTACACCGCCCCAAGAGAGGGGAGCGAGCGTTTCACAGTGCAGTCAGCTGTCACT